AACCCGTGTGTCCTAGGAAGAGGAGGAGGAAGAGGCCTTCACTGCTCTTGATTGCTGCATGGAGACTTCGCCCTGGAGCCTTCCTCTTCCTCCTCCTCCTAGAGCTTTGGTGTCTCTAAAGTCCAACAGGTATTTTATTTAAAATGTAAAATGTTGTTGAATTTATACAAAGGGTTATACATTAAATATATATCCTGGCCTTACAAATGCATTTCTTAATAAAAAACAAGTGGCAGCCAAGGCCTGGTAAATACTAAGAAGTTAAACACAAAGTCGTGGTACTTGTAAGTGGAAGTCCGAATACTGTCATGATTTTTTTTAAATGGGAGAAATAAACATGGTTCAGCTACCAAAAATATTCCCCACCCACCCACCCACCCCCGATGTATTTTAATGTTAGTGAATATTAATCCTATTGATATCTGGGATATAAAATGCAATTCCGGCTTTTCTCTGAAGACAAGGCCAAGAAATCAGCTAATATTTAAGCATTACAGAAACTGCTTTAAGATTTCCCACCTGGCTCATGAATAATGCTAGCTTCTCCTTTACCAGCTTTTAAATATTTTGTTCATTCAGGCAACTGCTGTTGCATGGAAGGATAAAAAGGGGCTCAGTAAATGGAGTGTTGCTCCTTCTCCGCCTCAGAAAAACTTCAAGTACCTGGTGATGGAGCAATAAATACACAAACCTCCCAAAAGGCACCTGCTTGGCCTCTGGAGTGGGTGGGTTAGCAGCAGGGTTGGGCAGCAGCCTGTCTGCAGAAGCAATTTCCCAGGGCAGATGTGTGCTCTTCACAGGTAGTTAATACCTAACTCCACCTCGGCACTCTCTAGCCACACTTAGTGGATCTTTATAAACCCACCAGCTGAGACCACCATGCTCCAGCACCTGGGGACACCAAAGCTGGGGAAGGAGGGCAGGCCACAATCCTCTCTAGCCCCAAATGTGCTCTCCCTCAAGGATGTCCACCGAGGTGCAAATATTTCAAAGAAAAAGACAGTTCAAAAATCTCTCATAGTTATTAAAGTATTCTTAATGGAATTTCAGTGGGTTTAGATGTTTTGTCCCAGTTTAACATCTCTGTGAATATTGTGTAGTTTCATTTGGCACATGAGAGTGGTTTTCTAAGCCTTGATTATTTTGAGGCCAGAGACTTCACAAAGCTCTCTTGGTCACGGGGGCTGGCATCTGTAGTTGCAGTGGCTTCCAGTAGCCTTGTCACTAAGGAACAGCTGAACAAAAGGGGCTTCCTGAAAAAGGGGTTCTGTTGCTGCCAGAGCAGGGGCAGCCTGCGGTGCTGGATCAGCAAGCCCAGGAGCTCCAGGTTCTGGTGGTGGTGCAGGCTGGAGATGTGCTGTCCTCTGCTGGGCAGAGTTCAGCCCGGGGCTCTCCTCAGTGGGGAAAAAATGAAATCAAACAGCTTTATGGGTGAAACTTTAAAGGGAGCCTTTGAAACTGCTTCTACGAAGGGTTAATAATAATGAATGTGCTGAGCACCACCAGTGTGATTGGGCCTGAAGCTGATTTTACCTGCAGGGAACAACTTAATCAACAGTTCCAAAAATACTAGAAAACCAAAACCGTTTTCTAAGTTGTGCTTTCGGGGAGGGGTTGTGTTTTATTGTTGTTGGTTTGGGGGGGTTGTTTGGTTTGGGTTTTTGGTGTTTTTTTTAACCACTCCAGCAAAAATTTAAAGACTAACAAACTGATAATGGGGAAACCCTAGCTGGAGGGGATGCTTATTTCATAGAATCACAGAATGTTTGGGCTGGAAGGGACCTCCAAAGGTCATCTAGTACAACACCACCCCACCACAAGCAGGGACACCTCCAACTAGATTAAGCTACTCAGAGCTTCATCTAGCCAGATCTTGAATGTCCCCAGGGATGGGGCCTCCACCACCTGTCTGGGCAACCTATTCCAGTGGTCTATCACCCTCATACTGAAGAACTTTTTCCTAATGTCTAACCTAAATCTCCCCTTTTCTAGCTTAAAACCATTGCCCCTCATCTTGTCACTAGGACATTTCCTCCTCCACTCACTGAAAAGCCTGAATTTCATTTTCTCTGCATGCACCTGGCACTGCACCACCTTTATGTGCAGGTGGTGAGGGGAGCAGGGCACCAGAGACCAGCGTCCCCAGCGCACGGGTGGCCTTGGGGGGCTGGCTCTCTATGGCCGGAGCCGGTTGCCCCCGCTCCCCAGCAGGGCTGAGAGTGCCAGCCGTGCCCCCCAAGCACAGGGAGCCCCAGGAGCCGCAGGCAAGGGGCCAACGCTATGCCCTGAGCACACACTGGCACGCCAGGCTTGGTCAGCATCCACAGCGAGGGCACGGGGCAAACGTGGGGCGTGGGCACGGCGTGCCATGCCCGGCCCTGGGGAGATCTGGCAGGCCGGGCTCGATGGTGGCAGCGCAAAGCCCCAGTGAGCCCACTGGTGCAAGCAGAGCATTCCAGCGTGGTGGGGGTTAGAAGGGTCCTCTGGAGATCATCTCAGCCAAACTCCCTTCTTAATCATCCCCAGCTGGGATGCCACTGGCTAAGCACACCAGGATGATGGCTTTGTCTTTTACTATCAAACACCAAATTTCACTTCAGCCTCCAGCAGGAGCCGGAATGAAGCCTTCCCTTGGAGCCGTTTTTACTGTTCTCTGCTCTGGATAAATGCATTGCTTCCTACAGCTTCAGCCTGTCCTGCCAGAGATGCTGACATTACAATTTTCACTCTTGTCTTGTGCCTCACCAAGCATTTCTAACTCAAAAAGTCTGTTTTAGGAACCTAATCAAAAGCATATAGAGTCCAATCAATCATAAATCCATATGTGGGGGTTGGTGGTTAAAAGAAATGTACTTCTTGCTCCAAGCAGAGTCCTACAAAAACATGCAGGGGAAGTTTGGTAACACTTAGCAATTTTGCTTAGAACATAAATTTTTTTGCTACCTTGTAGGTATAAAAGTTTTCTAAAGGTAGAAAATATCATTCTAGAAGTGTTGTTCAGCTCTGTTCCTCTTAATACTAACATCTTCACTGCCTAATCTCCTGTACGCCTGCTCGGTCAGATTCTCCACTAATTTAAGCATTTATCATTAAGGCATGGCTTCACCTCCTCCTTCACCACCTCCCTAGGCTCCCTTCTTGGCCAACAATCACCCTGTCAGCAAGCCTGCCTCCCCTGCCAAGCCCTTCCCAATGCCTTCCCAGAATATTCGTCTGGAGAAACAGAGGAAATGCCAGGACCCTCATCCAAAGCCCTCCCCAGCCTTGCCAAGAGCTGCTCGCGTATCAGGGAGGTGCAGGGAGGACCAACAGCCCTGCTTGGGAAGCCGGGGCAGGGGCAGCAGTGCCCTCCCGGCAGACCCTGGTGCTCTCACAGCCTTGGATGCTCCCCGTGTCCCTGCTGTAGCTGATGTCTGAGCTGTGAGAGAGGAAATGCCACACTGGTGGCAGCGTGGACAAGATGGGCGTCCCAGCTCTTCAGTGTGCTGGGAGCAACCACCCTCCTGCTTCTCATGCTGACCTTTGTCACCACTCAGATGCAGGGAAATGGAACACTCCTGCTGCAGCAATTGCAAGCTTCAGCATCCTTCTGTTGATAAAAGGCACCTACTCAACCTGTTTCACTTCTCAACAGCCACAGATGGGCATTACTAAATATTCATGTTAACAGTCAAAAAACATCCCCCTGGGTTTGGTCCAGGATGTTTGCAGCAGCTACCGTGTGTACTAATGCCGACTGTTACTCCTTTCTGACAAGTGGGATGCCTGAGTGACAAAAAGTACATTGCATTGAATCAAAGACAAATTTAATTTTTATATTCAACATATTTAAGGTGAAAAAGAAAAACGTAGCAATCAGTCCATATACATTCCATCTAAACAGGCTGCACACAGACTCAAAAAATCCCAGGATTATTGAAGATTCAGTAATTTCTATGCAGAAGAAAAAAGCAGGATGCACACCAGGTGTTTGTGGTGTGTTGTGATCAGTTTAAAACCAACAGCCAACCAATGTATGCATTCGTCATTAAAAATACATAGGGCTTACATTTAATACACAAAACATTTACAAAGAGGGTACTTGTTCAAGACTGGCAGCTGAACTGTGTTTCCTTTTCATGCCTATAAAGCTACTAAACTAATTCTATTTTTAAAAGTTCATATGTAAGAAGAGCTGAACAATTTTAAGGATAATTGGAACACATATAAATTATTGGATAAGTAGAGCAGCGCTATTGTAAGTCTGGGACCTCCACAGGCCTCCCTTATCTAATGAACGTGCAGTGCTGGTTTGTCACATCGTTTCCTTCTAAGCGGGGGGATTAGAGAAAGTGATTACTCAGTAAGAGAGATATGTTTAAAAAAAAAAAAAACCAAACAACAGAAAACCCAAACAAAACTTAAAAAGCCCAAATATTTGCACTGTTAGAGCTGTCCCACCTGGCTCCCGAGCACTTCCCTTGAGCTGTGCTGGAGGGACAGCAGCGGAGCCCAGGTGCCACGTGTGATGGGCAGGGTCCCACCAGCGACCCTGCTCCTCGGGTGCCTCTGCTCAGCCCACCACCCCACACATGCCATGGGACAGGGAGCAGCCAGCGAGCGGCCACTAAGCATGTCCCGCAAGCAGACAGGGACCTCGCCAGTTTGCACCGGCCCGTGCTGTGAAGAGACAGCGACAGCAAGAAGCAAGAAGCGACTGACGAGAGCCATTGAATGCCCCGTGCTGTGCCAGCCAGGGCTTGGGGACACCAACCCTGCTGGTGTCGGCCAGGGGAGAAGTCCCGGGGCAGCCCAGGCACTTTGTGGGGTTCTGAGCTCTGCTGACAGCACTGAGGGAACACTTGGGTTAGGAACAGACTGATTTTCCTACCAGAGAAGGTGAGAAAGGCTGCAATCCAGACACTGCAGAGCAAACCATGCCTCAAAACTCACATAGCTCCTACTCTCCTCTGTCGTGCCCAGTGAACACAAGCCAGGCGTTCCGAAGCAACGCTTCCACCTTACAGATTCTCATCTAGCCACTTGATGTATCTGTTCAGCAGCCGGTGCCCGACAGCTAACTCAGCCGGGCTCGAGATGAACATGAGGGCCCCGTGAAAGGCGTCCCTGGCGTGGTGGTGCACGACAGGGACACCTGCTGCCCGCAGGCGCCCAACGTACATGGCCCCGTCGTCCCGCAGGACGTCATGCTCGCAGGTCAGGACGTAGGTGAGGGGCAGGTGCCATAGCCGGGCATCGCTCGCCAGCAGCGGGGCCGCCCTGGGATCCAGGAACCCCGGGTATCGCTGGGCGAGCTCCGGGCGCCCGTAGGTGGGACTGGTGTAGGTGTGATCCTTCTTCATCTCTTCTGGCAACAAACTGCTCCAGTTTACGAACTGAAACAAGTGGCTGGACTCGGACGGGATGTGCCTGTTGGAGGCCATTGCTTCCCTGAGAGACACATCCAGAGTGAAATACTCGCTCCAGAACCTGACCATAAGCGCCTTGGGTAAAAGGGGGTCATTTTCGTTCTCTTGGTAAGACGGCAAATTCACGTCAAGGGTTTGAAGAGCAGGATAAAGCAAAGCTTGGGCTTTGAGTTCAGTTTCAACTTCAGAATCCTCTAACAGCTGTAGAATAAACCAGAAATAATTATAAAAAGACAGTTAAAAAAATGTTGCTTCTCTCACCTTGACAGAAGACCTTAAAAGTAAGGAATTAACACACATGATAACACAAGAGAAATAAAGTTATCAATGAAACCAGAACAGTTTAAAGGTATTCAGTTCACAGAATAGATTAAAGGTATAAGGTTCACAGGCAGGTCACCTAAAACAGCATGTTGTATTAAAATATCTTAAGCATCAAATAGAATTTAATTTTATTTCTTATGTTGAAAGATAACAATATCTAGGAAATATTCTTTTTGAAACACTGAGACTTTTTGAAGCATTGATGCTTTCCAAAGTGGTAACAAACGCTTTTGCTATAACCATAGCAAATTTCTATTCTTACAGCTTCAAAATTGCAGGTTTCTGAGGCTCCTTTAATCATTTCAGACAACTTAGAGCTTATCCATCTGGTTGTTCTTTTTAAACCTGAGCTGTCAGAACTCAAACAACTACAGTTCTGTGCATTTTAGATGTGGAAAATAAAAAGTGATGAACACTGACATTTCATATATGCCATCCTTTATGCCTCTTCATTAATAAATTTCCACCTTCTCCCTCATCTTCTGCTTTCAGTGTCCACAGCAGATTCACAACCTTTCCAAATGAGATTCATTACCAACCAAATCACTTCTCAAGAGAACAAAAACCTCACACTGTTTAATAAACCTTGAGTAAGAAGCACAAAAGGCACTAAACTCTGTGTGATCAAATGACACTGAGACAGTGAGTCTTCTTTTTTTTTTTTTTCCTGATATTTACACTTATATGAGCCAAATTGCTAAAAATCCCTTGTCAAACAACATACCTAAAACAGTCAAAAGGTGCTTAAGCATAGAGTTATATTGGCCCTAATCATAGGGCAGAGAGACTTTTTTTAGGGGCTAAAGGTTTGGAGCAGCTCATAGCCTCAAAGCTGCTTTGAAGCTATTAAAGGGCTCAGTTTGCTGGCCAGGATTCCCAGAGCCCTCCCTGATGGTCCTGCAGGCAGTGGGATGTGTTGCACACACAAACCACAGGAGACTTGCTTTCAGAAGAGTTTTTGTCAGTCTGTTTTAAGTATTCATGAAATGACAGGGGGAAAAAAAGATTGAGTCAGCAAAACGGTTCTTTTTTTACCTGTTGTGCCACAGCTGCAGCTAAGTTGCCACCTGCACTGTCTCCTGCCACACAGACCCGACCTGGGTCCACCCTATACTGGGAGAGGACGTTTCTCTGGAGGAAGAACTTCGTTACCGAATACGCGTCTTCAAATTGAGTGGGAAAATGGTGTTTTGGTGCCAACCTGTAGCTGTTAGAGGCAAGCAGAAGGGTTTTACCTCTCACTATTGATCACGAGAAAGGCTTGCTAATGTCTGCCCTAGCTGGTGAAAGTTTATTATTTTCTTTGCCCAGAGAAATGGGAACTATCTGTCTATACTGGAGGATCAAATATTTTAGTACCCACCCAACTTCATAAAGCAATATCCAAAATAACCACCAACCACAACTCTCAACTACAGCCTTGACAGCTCTTGTTTACAAAGACTTAAAGCTAGCAGGAGAGCACATGGGAAAAAAAATAAATTGCAAAATTAGATTATTTGAAATAGATTAATTTATTCCAAACCCTCATCCCATCTAGAATGAGAATGTCTCTTACTTGACTGATACCACAACAGCATTTAACCTGCTTGAAGTCCACCTCGTCAGACGATCATAGGATTTCATGCCTGAAATGAAGTGAGTCTCTTAGAACATGCTCCAGTACATTTGAGAGCAGACCCAGATGCAGCAGCTTGTTCCTCTTGGCAGAGGCTTTCAGGTGACTTTCCCAAACCTCTACCTGTTTTTAGCTGGTGAAACACCAGGTCCTGCACCCTCTCTGTGGCACCTCCCATCAAACAAAGGTCAGCACATAACATGGGCACTGAGAAGTCCGTGCAGAGCCCTGGTGCAGACAGGGAAGAGCTTACCTGCGTCTCCTAGGCTCCAGCCTCCACCGTGGAAGTAGACCACCCCCCTCCTCAGCCCATCAGAGGGCTTTCTGGGCACGAACAGACGGATGGGAACGTTGCTGAACTCGGTGTCTGTCACAGTAACGTTCTCATCGGACATGGGTGCGACGTACTCGACTGCTGTGATGAGCATCATAACATCCATGTAGTGCATCAGCCCCAGCTGCTCAGCAAGCGCAGCCTGCAGCCCAAGGCAAGGGAGAACAGCATTGTAAACACAGCTTTAGTTACTCCTGGAGGCTGAATTTCCATAAAGTCATCTGATGCTCTGTGCAGGTCTAAAGTGTCTCTAAATGTTGCTAAGTCAGGTGCTGAGGACTCAGAGGAGTCAGCGTCTCACAGTGTCCAGCTCCCTTCTCTCCCTTATGTCCCATGTGAAGATTGGTGGTGGTGGCTGGAAGGCAGCCCAGGGGACACCACCACTTCCCTTTGCCCAGACAACGCCTGGAAGCACAGGCATAGAACATAACAAGGATGCAATTCTAATAGTGTTAATGCAGTTTCCTTTGAAACTCATGTTTTAAACATTTATTAATACAGTTATTCTAAGATGTTAAATAAAATGAAAACAAAAATCAAACCCTAGCAAGTAAACCTGCAGGTGAAATATGAGCTCCAAAGATTAACATTTGGCAGCTTTGGCTCTCTGACATCATGGCAACTTACACCTATTAAGAACCTCTTTCACTGACAGGCTAGTTCACACCATGAATATAAAGCTTTTTTAAAAAATTGTGCCAGCTTTTGTTCTACTGAGTCTGTGGCACCCAAGAGTGAACCCAGGTGAGAACATTTCTACAGGCACTGGTCATAAACTGTGCTAGAAGTGCAGATCCCAGCAAGTCCCTCCCAGCCAACCAGCTCCCCATGGAGGCACCAGCGTTTCCTCAGAGCTGCCTTGGGGGAATTGTGACAAGTAAAGATTGACTAGTGTGTGTTTATACATAAATCTTATTGGAGTTTTTGTTTTGGTTTGGTTTTGTTTTTCTCCTTTCTTCCTCTTACTATGTTTAAAGAACTTAATTCTACAGTGTTTTTAAGATATTAGAAATGTATTTTAAAAGCTCATTAAAAACCTGTAATAGACACCAACACGACACAAAAGAATAATCATAGGATCATTCTCGTTGGAAGAGATTCTCTGGTTGGAGATCTAGTCTAACAGTTCCCCAGTTGACCCATGTCCCTTGAAACCACATCTCCACGGCTTGGAAATCCCTTCAGGGATGGGGACTTGAAATGCTGGGATTTGAGCCCCGAGCCCCGAATTAAGGTTGACATATGGGTGATTCCCACAGCCCTTCATAAAGAGGTGGTGAGTTTGCCTTATAGCTTCCCCCCAGGGTGCGCCCGGCCCTGCAGGGAGAGCCATAAGGGAAATGAGCCCCAGGGGTCCCGCATTGAGTTGACAAAGGTCAGGTGTCTGCTTGGGGATAAAAGCTGGGACCACTTGCAGGGAGTCAGGAGGTCTTCTCTGACCCAGGAAGCTCTGTGGAGTGCATGCCACAGAGCAGATGCTCCTGACTCTCCCTGAAGCTGGGCTCTGATCTGTTTAGACCTTTGCAAATGTGGGCTGATCAGGTGAGAGTCACCATGTGGGCACCATTTTCTTATGTATTTAAATGGCTGGTCTGGCTGTTTCCCATGCCAAGTATGGGAAACCTCGGGTCTCTGTTTGTACCACCTGTTGTGGGCCGAGTCACATCTTTTGTGGGATTGTTGGGGGTGGTGTTGATTATATACCAGCTGATTGATCTGTTTGTACCCCCAGCGATCATTCGTGGAATGTCCTTTTTGTATACAATGCAGTCTGTGTATTGGTTCATCTTCCTGCTGGTGCTACCATTTCTGTTAGGCCTGGTCATTGGCAAAACAGGACTCCACTCACTGCCCTGGGCAGCCTGGCACAGCCCTGGACAACCCTTTTGGGCATTAAATTTTTACTTATGTCCAACCTAGAACTCTTTGGTGCAACTTGAGCCCATCATGCTTTTGTCACTTGGGAGAACAGACTATCCCCCACATTGCTACAACCTCCTTTCAGGAACAATGTCACAGTGACTGACAGGAAAATGAAGTCTTCATTTTCTATACTGTGAAAGCCGTTGTAAATGCCCGTTGAACAAAAATTCAGTTACATTAGAGATTGACTGTGGGTAGAGTGTGATCTCAGTCACATGAAACACGGAAGTGTGAGGAACCTCTACTGTGTGTAGCCTTCTCAAAGCCCAGCATGCTGTGGCAATGGGCTGCTGGAGCTGCTTCAGCTAGAGGGTAGGAATAGCATGGGCTCCTTCAGGATTTGGGAGTGTTATATCTTCTAATTCCTAATAATATACTAAGGAATAACTTGCAGGGGATTTGTTTTCAAGATGAAAGAAAACGATGACGAATACAACTTCAAAATTGCTTGAAATCCATTTGCTATGTGGCCAGCTGAAAGTGAACTCAGCTTTGATTTCTAGTTCATTTCAAGCAAAATTGGAAGAAATTTTAAACTAATTGGCATATTCCTTTTCAGTTTAATGTACATCACTCTTGTGCATATTCAGGTTAAACACACAAAAAACTAAGAGCTGACACTGATAACAAGAACAATTGTATATGTTTAAGGCCATGGGGCACCTGCCCAGCCTCCCTCACGAGGCTCCCAACTACTTCAACACACACCCATAGACATAATTAAGTAATAAAGGGTTATCCGAAGGTGAAAAACAGATTAAACTCAAAGCAGGTTTGAGTCTAATAATATACAAAATAGGCCAGCTGGGGGTAGAGCCTATTGGAAGTTTGCTTTCTGAGAGGTGCTTTATTCTTCTCCTCTTCCCCCCTCCCCCCACCCCCC